TTCTTTTATAGTAAGTTATTTACCGTAAGATATTCACTCAATATTAGTTTTTTTCTATATTATCGCCATTAATTTTTTAGGAGGTGTAGGGCCCACGTTTTCATATCCAAATCTCTAAAAGACCAAAGGATTAAATTTTTAATTTATATTATTTGAAAAATCATTGATGAATTGTGATAAAAGCATTTTTTTTATTTTTTTTTTCAGTATTAGATCACAAAAATAAAAATAATTTCATAAAATATTTCCACATAAGTCCTTATAAACCATAATAAGTCATCTGCAAACTTACGAGACATATGATTTCTTCATTTATCGAACTTATTAAATATGAATCAACATTCATCATTTTCATGAACTTTTTAAATTTTTACTATATAACTAAAATAACTCAAGCACAAAGTCTAATAATATTTGCGTATTTTTAAAAGCTGTGTACTCACTAATATGGATGCACACGCATAACGCGTACCCTAAGACTAGCATATATATATATATATATATATATATATATATATATATATATATATATATATATTGGCCTGTCTACCAACATTTGAATTACGCAATACTACAAGTAACACACTCTTAAAAGTGCATGCATGTATTTAACAGGAATTGCTATGGACGTATCTCAGTTTCTGACTGAGATGAAATCCATGTAACTTAAAGGGCGGACAATTAAGTTGCTGCAAAATTTTTACTACTACTAATATTTTACTGAATACAGATACACAATAGCCAATAGCTTTGGTTGACAGCAACTCACCTACCTGTCATTCCTTAGTGCCCAACAACCATTTCAAGTCAAACACTTATACCCTTTAAATACCTAGTAGGGAAATTCTAATGTCTAAGTTATCTACCAAACTAGTAATAACAACAATAAATTAATTATTCATTAATAGATTTTAGACTTATATTAGTTGAGAGTTTAGGCCGGTGTCTCTTATGTGTGGTCTAACATCACCTCATTACAACTAAGCTAACTTTTTGGGTAGAGTTGGATCAAATATTAATTTCTTTGGATGTGTTATCAAAGTCAGACCTCGTCTTTATGGGTATTTAGTTATTCGATGTTGGGTTCCATTATGTTATATATCCACGGTCAAAGTTGTATCCACTCTGGGCATGCCAAGGGAATTAAGAGGGGAGTTAAGAATCCCATATTAGTTGATGATATGAGATGTTTTCGGCTTATATGATATTTAGACAATACCAATGAGTTGTCTTTTAAGATGGAGTTAAGTCCAAAATCTGTTTTGCTTGATATAGGTTCAAACTACCAAAACAATAAGAAGTTGGATAATAGTAAAACTAAGGTATGATATTTCCCTATAGATAAACATTCCGAAATGTTACCATATTTGTTGGGTTTAAGCTTAAAATAGCTTAAAATAGAGTGAATGGGAAATGGACGGAAAATAAAAAATTTGAATTTCCTCTTTTACAAAGGGATATTGTCCCATATTGGAGGAGGAAAAGAGTTTTGATGGGTATATACAGAATTGCACTTCTTCTAAGTCTTGAAAAGTTGAAAAGAAGGCAAGCCTCGCGTCATCGTCACTAGATGTCTAAAACGATTATCTCAAAGCCATTGCTTTTCTTCTTTTCTTTTTATTTATTAACGATTTTCAGCAAATAAAAGTAGTACGTAGTACACGTGAATTAATTGGACAATTTGCTCAGGGTTGTCCAACTTGTCTAATTCTTAAATTAGGAATTAGAGGATAATTAAGCTTCCTAATACAAATATCATTGGCTGTCTGAGTTAGGACCTCAAGTACTCAAAGATTAAAGTCGTTTCTTGTTATGAGTTTGACCTGTAAGCTTTCACGGGAGGAATTTTTTTTGTTTTGAGTTGAAAGAATCACACCAAATTAAATTCAATCAAATTTTACATCATGAATACTAAGCCAAGGACAACAAGGAACATTGGTGTGGATCGAGTTCATCTCTTTTACTAACAACTATGACCCAGTGGGTTCAATAGTTTAATTAGCATTATCTTTTTAAATTATTTTTCTCTTTTGCCCAATTAGAAACTATATAGGGTAAAAAATATTATGATACGTGGTAGACACGTGGAACCAAGACGGGATGGTGGAGGACCGAACACAGCTATTCCGCTTGTCACTAGAAGGGATAACTCTCATAAAGGTGTATTAAATGCTTCGCGCCCGGTAGCATTTTGTAAATTATATTCTGCAGCATTAAGGGCGACGGCCCGTTACAGAGAATTTGGCATTTATGTTCACCGTTACATCTTTCATCAATGACCCTCATAATTGACATAAAAGGAGGGCATGATCGTAGAACCTCCTTCCCTAAACACAGCTATAAATAGTGAGCCCAGTTGTCATTGTAGAGGACACGAATTTTCTGGCTAACTTACAGTATATTCTATAAAAAGCGTAATATAGTTTTACTTTCTTGCTTTTGATCTCATCATTGTTGTGCCCGAAAATCTTGTTCCCGGAGTTTGTCATTTCTGCCATTTCACCTACATTCTAAGGCTAAGTATTGTATAATTCTAAAATTATTTTATTATTTCAGGATCAAATTAGTTCACTTGTCTAGAAACCACGTATAAATTCAATTGTACCGTTTTAAGGGTGAACAGTTTGGCGCCCACCGTGGGGCTTAGACAGCCGTGTAATTAAATGATCCTTTCTTTTTTTACTAACGTGCTTTGATTTTTTTGTCTTAGAAAAGAAAAATCATAAGAAATGGCAGATAACACCGTTAACAACACGCACAACCCTGAGATTCGAGGAGATCAGCCTCACTTCGAGGACTCAATCAATGATACTCATAATGAAGAGAATGATGCCACTCCAGTGCATGACATGCAATATCCTCGACAGATTCGGGAGGCAACTCCCGATGATGCTGATGAGGAGCATGTCGTTAACGCGGTAAGGGTCTTATAGGAGCAACAGGCGATCATTCTACGCCATCTCACTCGGCAGGACAAGGTTATGACCGAGTTTAAGCATGCACTGTCGGGTGCTTCTAATAATGCAAACAGATGAAATCCAATTCCTCTCGGTGTCCCCACAAATCAAACAACACAGAGGGTCGACAACAACACACCCAGGGGTGAAGTTGGCACCGACAGAGCTAGGGGGAGCGGATCCGGTCTCAATAACGAGAAGGATCCTTTCAAGAACGAACTTTTACGGTTTATGAGGGAAGTTAACGTCGGCATGGACCAAATCCCGAGCGCACCACCAGTACTGAAGGGACCGGATTCAAAGAAGTATATTAAATTGTTGTACAAGCCGAGTGCGGCACCAGAGTTAATCCCGAAGCGGTTCAAAATTCCTGAAGTACCAAAATATGACGGAACTTCAGATCCACAGGAGCATATTACCACTTACACGATGGCAGTAAAAAGATATGATTTAGCGCCTCACGAAATTGAATCTGTGTTGCTAAAGAAATTCGGAGAAACTCTCACGAGGGGAGCTCAAACGTGGTATTCATTATCACCCGAGCATTTCATAGATCCATTTGAGATGCTCGCGGATTCTTTCATCAAGGCCTTTACATTTCATGAAAAGTACAAGCCTGGAAGGCCGATATATTCAGGATTGTGCAGGGAGAGTTCGAGTTACTACGAGAATTCGTCACCCGATTCCAGAAGGAAAGAATGTTGCTCCCGGTTGTCCTGGACGAATGGGCAGCTGGAGCATTCACTAAGGGATTGAATTCGAGAAGTTTAGATGCTTCCTGGAAACTGAAGGAAAGCATGCTTGAGTTTCAGGCAACGACGCGGGCAGATGTCCACAACCGGTACGAGTCAAATATAAAAATCGAAGATGATCAAATTACTTTCCATCATCGGCCAAAGGACGGGAGAAGAATAAACAAAAATCAAAAGATGACTACGACGCGGACAGACAGAGGGGACGGTTTTTGCCATACAAACGAACCGAAGGCCGTGGTAGGGGCCTCCGGACAGTAGACAAGTTCACCGTTGATAGAAGGACCGATCGTGGGCAGAACAATAGATCATTACAGGATAGGAAACGCCAGGGTCTCGGGATCCTTCTTACCCCAAGTTATCAGAATACAACTTCAACATCAGTACAGTAGAACTGGTGCCACCTATGAGAAACATCAAAGAGGCACGGTTTCCAAGACCAATGAAATTCGATTCTAGTCAGAGGGATCCTAACCTATAGTGTACATACCATGGGACAAATGGCCACCGGACAGGGGACTGCCAACACCTTCGGGAAGAAGAGGCAACGCTGTTGAAGAATGGTCACCTCAGAGAATTCTTAAGTGATCTAGCTAAGAACAACTATGGTCGTAGTAGAGACAACACGGAACCCTCGAAAGCAGGAGAAAAACCCCCATGCCAAACAATCAATATGATCTTCGAAGGGAATGAGATTAATGGGGTCACCTTTTCAGCAGCAAAGAAGACGAAAGTTTAAATAACTTACAGTAAAAGGCTCGGGGAAGATGATATCACTTTCACGTGGGAGGACGCAGACGAATTGCTGTTACCGCACATCGATGCACTAGTAATTTCTTTAAATGTGTTAGATTTTAACATTAAACGTGTTTTGGTGGATCCAGGAAGTTAGGCTAATATCAAACAATGGAGAGTATTGGAGCAAGCTAAACTCACCGGAAGGAGTTTTGGCTCTGGTTTCAACCTCACGAGCGTAACGACCTAGGGAAGATTTTGCTGCTCATGAACGCTGAAGGAGTAATGAAAATAACTCTCTTCGAAGTAGTAGATGGTGACATAGGATATAATATCATCCTGGGAAGGCCATAGCTACACTAGATGAAAGATGTACCCTCGACGTATCACCAATTGCTGAAGTTTCCAATGCCTGAAGAAATCAAGAAGATGAGGGGTGATCAACCAGCAGCAAAGGAGATGAATGCAATTGCAATTTTTAGTAGAAAAGGAAAGGAGCATACGGCATAGCAATTACAGGAGCCGGCACCTACTCCCAAGCTAGAAGAAGTTAGCCATGAGGCAGAATCGTCGGAACATTATCAGGTGTCAAGACTTTCCAAGTTCCAGAAAAGATGGGCGTGACAAAGTCCACGGCGGAAGAACAGAAGCGGGTTGCATTTTTCGAAGAATTCTTAGAAAGGAAGTTCCATTTAGGAACGGGACTGCACCCGGAGCTCAGGTATGATTTTATTGAATTTCTTAAATTTAATGTCGATTGTTTTGCATAGTCGCACGAGGATATGACAGGTATCCCGATGGAGGTAGCAGTCCACAAGTTAAGCTTGGATCCCAACGTACCTCCGGTAAGACAAAAGAAGCGCCTTACTGCCGAAGCCAGGAACAAATTCGTCAAAGAAGAGGAAACCCGCTTGCTTAATATCGGTTCGATCCGAGAGGTAAGATATCCGGACTGGCTGGCTAATGTAGTGGTAGTTCCTAATAAGAATAAGAAATTTTGTATGTGTGTAGATTATAAAGATCTTAATAAGACATGCCCAAAAGACTCGTTCCCATTGCCAAATATCGATCAAATGACTGATGTCACGGCCAGACACGAGTTAATGAGTTTCCTTAATGCTTATTTCGGGTATAACCAAATCAAGATGAACCCGGAAGATCAGGAAAAGACTTCGATTATAACGATTTGGTACATATTGTTATAATGTGATACCTTCGGGTTGAAGAACGCCGGAGCCACTTATCAACGGCACGTTAACAAGATGTTTGAAAATCAAATAGGAAAAACGATGGAAGTTTATATAGACGATATAATCGTTAAGTCTTTGAATGCAGGTGACCACCTCACACATCTGCAAGAAACTTTCGACATCCTGAGGAAACATAACATGAAACTTAACCCCGAGAAATGCGCGTTCGGGGTTAGTTCTAGTAAGTTTCTGGAGTTTCTGGTCTCACAAAAGGGATTTGAGGTAAACCCTGATAAAATCAAGGCCATAGAGGACATCCTGGATCAATTGCCGAGAGCAGAGGAAGTCCAAAGGCTCACAGGAAGGTTGGCAGCTGTGAGCAGGTTTATTTCCCGTTCGTCAAAAAAATATCATTGTTTCTTTGCTTTACACAAAAAGAAAAATGATTTCGAATGGACACCAGAGTGCCAACAAGCTTTGAGGGATTTGAAGAGGTACTTATCAAGTCCTCCATTACTCTCAAAACCAAAAGAAGGCGAAATATTGACGGTCTATCTCGCGGTCTCGGAAGTTGCGGTAAGTGCGGTTTTAGTCTGTAAGGACAAAGGTACGCAATCTCCCATTTATTATGTTAGAAAAATTATAATGGGAGCAGAAACTTGCTACCCACATTTGGAAAAACTAGCCTTAGCTCTCATAGTTGCCGCTCGGAAGCTGAGGCCCTACTTCCAATGCCACCCGATAGTCGTGGTGACTACTTTTCCTTTGCGGAACATCCTCCATAAGCCCGAGCTCTCGGGAAGATTGGCCATCAAAATTAGTGAATTCGACATTGAATACAAACCAATGACTGCAATTAAGTCAGGGTCTGGGCTGACTTCGTGGCCAATTTCAGTCCGGGACTACTGCCTCTGGCAACCAAGGAGGAAGCAATGGTGTCGGAATCAACGTCAGGAGTTTGGACCCTATTTACGGACGAGGCTCCAACGTAAAAGGGTCCGGACTTGGAATAGTCTTAATCACGACTTCGGGAGAAACTTTGAGGCAAGCCATCAGAACAATAATGAAGCAGAGTATGAAGCTTTGAATGCAGGACTTGAATTGGCCCGGGGACTCAACTCTGAGGTCATCAAAATCAAATGTGACTCAGAGCTAGTGGTAAATCAGGTCTATGGGATCTTTGACGCTAAAGAAGAACGCATGCAACAATACAGGATAAAGTTCCAGGCTCTGTTGGCACGATTCCAGGAGAGGTCAATTACTTATATCCCAAGGGAGGATAACACAGAAGCAGATGTGTTGGCAAACTTAGGATCATCAACAAAAATAAAGGGGACAGAGTCTGGCGCAGTAGTACAATTAATAAACTCGATTCTGGATGCAGATGGTTACTACAAGGTAAATTCGACTAGCTTGGTCTGGGACTGGAGAAATGAAATAATCGACTATGTCGAGCACGAGAAGTTGCTCGAAGACCCCAAAGCATCACGGGCATTACGCGCCAAAGCTACACGATACTGCTTCAAGAGAGGCCAGTTGTATGGAAAATCTTTCCAAGGCCCGCTGGCCCAGTGCTTAGGAACATCCGAAGCTAACTACTTCATGAGGCAACCACTCAAGCGTAGATTCCTTGGTGCTGAAGCTGGTACGGGTAGGATATTACTGTCCCCGCATGGACCAGGACGCCAAAGATTTCATACGAAAATGTGATAAGTGCTAATGTTACGCACCACTAATGCATCGACCGGCACAACCCTTACATTCAGTTCTATCACCGTTGCCGTTTATGAAATGGGGGATGGACATCATCAGACCGATACCACCAGCTCCCGGAAAGGTAAGATTTCTTTTTATTTTGACTGACTATTTTTCTAAATGGGTGGAAGTAGGTCCTTACCAGAAGATCGGAGAACGCAAAGTGGTCGATTTCCTGTGGCAAAATATAATTTGCAGGTTTGGAATACCAAAAGAGATAGCATGTGACAATGGGCCGCAGTTTATCGGTGCAAAAGTTACTTTCCAGAAGATTTGAAGATAAAAAGGATCACGTCTTCACCTTACCATCAGAGCACAAATGGTCAAGCGGAATCAACGAACGAAGTGATTATTCAAAACCTGAAGAAAAGGTTGGAAGTGGCGAAAGGCAAATGGCTCGAAGAATTGCCCGGAGTTTTCTGGCCTACCGAACAATGGCCAAATCGAGCAAAGGAGAAACTCTTTTTTCTCTTGTGTACAGTGCAGAAACTCTAATCCTGGTGGAAGTGGGAGAACCTACTTTGAGATACTTCCAAGCAAACGAAGAATCGAACAATGAAGCAATGTTGATCAACTTGGAGCTGTTCGAGGGATGCAGGGACTTGGGCGTGTAAGAATGGCAGCTCAAAAGCAGAGAATGGAGCAGTATTAGAGACAACCTCCGTTATATCAAACTAGGAGATTTAGTTCTAAGGAAAGTAACTCAAAATACCTGGGAGCTTAACGCGAGGAAGTTGCGACCGGCGTGGGAAGGTCCCTATCGGATTTCAGCTATCACTAGGAAAGGTTCATACGAGTTGGAGAACCAGAGTGGAGACAAGTTGCTTAGCAACTGGAACGTGGCACACCTCAAAAGATATTATTGTTGATGAACATTATCCGAGCGAAAAGTATGTGCTGCACTCTTTTTCCCTTTGTTCAGTTTTTGTCCCAATTGGATTTTCCTAGCAAGGTTTTTAACGAGGCAGTGGCAGAAAGCATACTACGAAGATAACAGCAATAGGACCTTTAATAGCAAGGCAAATAGCAAGTTTCCACGCGGAGGATGATTAGATAGTCTTTGGCTCTATAGTAAATTCCTATTGGAAAGTTAAGTTTGCTATTGAGCAAAGGTTACACGACCATTCACGAGCACAAACCACTAGAGGATTGTTAGATAATCTTTGCTCGATAACATAGATTCCTGAGGGAAAGTAAGGTGTGTTATCGAGCTAAGGATTATCTGGAAATTCATTAGTGGAATCTTTGAAGGTACAAGACTTCTAGTGTTCCAATTAGCATTCTTCGCATTTGAACACTGGGGAGGAACGATATGAGGATACGGCATCTGTAACTTCCACGTCAACCGGGAACGAAAATTCGAAATAGTGAATATGTCATCGAGATCGGGGACTGCGCAACCAACCCCATAGAAACAAGTTGTATAAGATAGCCACAAGTAATGGAAATTTCTTTTTATTATAGCAAATGCTTCTATACTTTTTCAAATAGAAGGAATTAAATGAAATGAAATCCTTTTATTTTTATCTTGTTTCTGGTTTGAACGATGAACTAACTTCTTCATTTGAAAGCTAAATAAGTACTTCAAATGTTAGAGTCATAATGAACAGGAGACGTCCTCTTCAAGAGCACCGTAAACATAAGAGAGCCCTCCCTTATGAAAACCCTCACGTTAAAGGGTTGGTTTCGAAAGAATTTATGCCCGGAATCAAAATACCTTCGGGGGAAGATGCACCCGAAGACGTACACAAAAGGACGCAAAAAGTAAACTTGCACAAATACTTATAGAAACCCCCACGTAAAAGGGATAATACTCGGAGCCAAAGTGTTTCGAGGAAAAAGCATCTGAGATTACACATACCAAAGCGCGAACAGAAAAATGTGCGCAGAATTCTTAAGCAAGTGCAAAAGTTAAAGACTTGCATGGATACTCAATTTTATAATAACAGTCTCAAAACAACATTGCATGCACTCCATGAGAAAGTGACACCCACCGTGGCTACTGAACGGGAAGAAGAATCAAAACGTAATATTCGATATATATGAAGTTGCACGAAAACTCTAGCATGCGCGGGAACTAACGATAAGCTAAG